GCATGAAAAGCAAAGGCAGAAATCATTTTATTTCAGCTGAAGATGAAATCCGTGTGTGCTTATCTCAACTTTGGCCAGAATTGAGTATTTGTGCAGCAAAAAACAAGCACAGGTTTCATATTAAAGAGATATGTTTCATTCTTTATTTTTAGTTTAAAAACACTGTTAATGCACATATGAAATGAATATAATACACATGAAATGAATATAATACATTTGTAACTTTTAGCCTATATCTGAGCTTGAATGTGCAGAGATTCCCTGAGGCCTGAAAAATATTTCAAGGGTTCCTCCAGGCTCAAAAGGTTGAGAAAGACTGCTCTAGATCATATAACTGGACAAGAATGGATTTGGGGAGGGGTTACCTATGATGTGTCTGTTTTAGCATGTTCATTATGATATGCATGTTTCCTTGCTTAGAATGGCATGAAAGTGTTCCACTAGTTTTCAGCAACAATGGTTAGAGGACAGCAAGGTTTTTGTGGTTATGGGGCTACAGGTTGCCCAGCCTTGTTTTTATACTTGGAAATATGGGGAGGTTGCTTAAATATGGAAAACACTGAAGCAGGTGAACTTCAAACCTTCACAAACCTACACAAACTCATCTGTGTATTAGCGGTCAATATGGTTTCCATATGAAGAATTTGGAAATACAGGTAACCCTCGGATTATGACCACGTAAGGGTGCATGGGTGTGTGTGAGAGGTACTATGTGAGTCCGGGAGGCATGCAGGTGTGCAGCTCAGGTCAGGAAGGTTGTGCGGAGGTGTGTGAGTGGCTGGCGTGGCGTGAGCACAGAGGGGCTGGGAAGGGTGCACGGGTGGGGGAGACTTACCCCAGCAACTTGTGACCTTCCCTGCTGGCTTCCCCACTGACTTTCTGGGGAAGAGAGCAGGGAAGGTTGCAAATGATGATCATGTGATCGCAGAGTGTTTGACAACCGGTTGTAAGCACGAATGGGTTGCCAAGTGCTCAGATCATGATCATGTGACTGTGGGGGTGCTGCAATGGTCATGACTTTGGGAACTGGTTGTAAGTCCCTTTCTTCAGCACCATCGTAACTTCGAATGGTTGCTGAACGAATGGTCGTAAGTTGAGGACTACCTGTACTTAACATTTTCATAATGCTTCTGTCCCACCTGGAAACCACTCATTCCTATCTTGCCAACTTCATTCTGTACACTCCCAACCTATTCTTGCAAGATTAATGGAGATTATTTGGGGCTAAATTCAGAGCTGTAGCTATACTAGTACTATATCTAAAAGAAATAAATATAAAAAACAGAGCCTTAAGTAGTATTAATTAGCCACTGAATGAGGAACAAGTAATCATAGCTTTAGTTGTCTTTTTGCTGCACTTGGGAATAAAAAATGATTCAACTCTGATCCTCCATATTCAGGATATTTTAAATAAAAGACTATTTCACCAAGTTTGTCATTGAAGTTGAAAGGTAGTACATCTTCTCCAAACCCCCAATTTTCCTAGTTATCACTCATCCTTTCCTTTCTAATATCTTCTAAGGGGGCAATTCAGATTTATTCCTGCTGTCCTCTCATAATATCTATTCAGGATTCAGCAGCTGTATTTTTCTTATAAACTACAAGTGTTAAGTTATTTAATGCCTTGCCTATGTTAGAGCAAATAATCTGGGAATATGATTGGCTTTTTCTTTTTAGGTGAAACCCCTAATGTCCTTCAGGAAGCAACAGTAAAGCTCATAGACTCCAGAGTTTGTAATAGAAGGGAAGTATATAATGGGGCCATAAAACCTGGAATGATATGTGCCGGATACCTTGAAGGGGGAATTGATTCCTGCCAGGTATGTCTATATCTTATCTCAACTAATACACTAAAAAGTAATCCAGCATTAATCCAATTTAAATTTGAATGGCTATTTATGGAATACCAATTACCTTGTATCTGTCAAAATTAGTCTTCTAGTCTTTATATATATAAAAAAAAACCTCAAAAGGATGAAGCCCAGATGCACATTCCTCTACTGAGAAATTAAAAACCCTTTCCCATGTATATTGTATTTTGCTGTATTGACCAAAAGATATAGATATATATAAAAGATTTAGAGACTGCCCAACTCCAGAATGACTTTGGGCAACTTACCTTTAAAAAACAGAAAACAATAAAAAGAAAACCCTTTGTGTTCAGACAAACCACACTTTTTATAACATAAAATGTTAAAATGTGATCTCTTGGTTTGGGGTGAGGTATCATCAATATGCTGATGATACTCAGCTTTATATCTCCACCCCAGGTTGTCTGAGTGATGCTGTGGATGTCCTGTCCCAGTGCCTGAGGGCTGTAGGGGTCTGGATGGGGCACAATGGGCTTCGACTCAACCCAAGCAAGACTGAGTGGCTCTGGGTATTTGGACCTTCTAGAGACAAGGCTTTTCCACCTTTGGTTCTGGGTGGGGTAGCATTGCCCAAGACACAGCCGGTATACAGTCTGGGGGTCTTCCTGGACTCATGGCTCCTGCTTCAAGAACAGGTGGCAAATGTGGCTAGGAGGGCATTTGCACACCTCCGGGTAGTGCGCCAGTTGCATCCATTCCTTGATCGGGAGGCTCTGCTCACAGTCACCCACACCCTCATAACCTCTCACTTGGACTACTGCAACACGCTCTACATGGGGCTGCCCTTGAAGAGCATTCAGAAGCTTCAACGGATACAGAATGTGGCTGCATGGGTAGTAAACGGTACTGGATATGTGACATATATAACACCACTACTATGTGAGCTGCATTGGTTGCCGGTGTGTTTCCAGGAGCAGTTCAAGGTGCTGGCTGTCACCTTTAAAGCCCTGCATGGCTTGGGACCAGGTTACGTAAGGGACCATCTTTTCCCAATAGTATCTACCTGTCCAATTCAGTCCAGCAGGTTGGGCATGCAGCGGGTCCCATTAGCCAAGAAATGTTGGCTGGCAGGGACAGGGAGATGTGCCTTCTCTGCTGCAGCCCCTGCCCTCTGGAACATCCTCCCTTCAGAGATTAGGATGGCCCCTGTTGGCCTTTTGTAAGGCTTTAAAGACCTGGCTATGTCCTCGGGCATGGGGCCCCGAATGTGTTAAGGGCCCAGTCTCTTGGCTATATCGATAATTATTATGATAATTTTCTTGGCTGCTGTATATATTTA